AGAAGCATTTTAGGTGCACTTCCTCCAGGACAGATCTGTTAGTTCTTTTAGAGTCCATGGTATTTTCAGCATTCTTCTCCAGCACCACAACTCAAAAGCATCAACTCTTTTTTGGTCTTCCTTATTCATTGTCCAGCTCTCACATGCATACAAGGTGATTGGAAATATCATGGCTTGTGTCAGGCATACTTTAGTCTCAAGGAGACATCCTTGCTCCTCAGCACTTATATTTCACTGTACATAAATTATATTTCATCCATGACAACTCTGGCATTGTGGAAGGACTTATGACCATGGTCCGTGCCATCACTGCCACCCAGAAGACTGTGGATGGCCCCTCTGGGAAACTGTGGTGTGATGACCATGGGGCTGCCCAGAACATCATCCCTGCATCTACTGGTGCTGCCAAGGCTGTGAGCAAGGTCATCCCTGAGCTGAATGGAAAGCTCACTGGCATGGCCTTCCGTGTCCCCACCCTCAATGTGTCCATTGTGGACCTGACCTGCCATTTGGAGAAAGCCGCCAAATATGATGACATCAAGAAGGTGGTGAAACAGGCATCCTGGGCTACACTGAAGACCAGGTTGTCTCCTGTGACTTTAACAGTGACACCCACTCTTCCACCTTTGATGCTGGGGCTGGCATTGCCCTGAACGACCACTTTGTTAAGCTCATTTCCTGGTATGAAAATGAATTTGGCTACAGCAACAGGGTGGTGGACCTTATGGTCCACATGGCCTCCAAGGAATAAGAGCCTCCTGGACCACCAGCCCCAGCACTAGCACTAGCACTAGAGGAAGACAGAAACCCTTGGCTGCTGCGGAGTCCTTGCCCCAACTCCATCCCCAACACACTGAGAATCTTCCATCCTCTATAGTTTCCACACAGACCCCCTGAAGACGGGGAGGGGCTTAGAGAGCCCCACCTTGTCATGTACCATCAATAAAGAACACTGTACCTAAAAAAAAAAAAAAAATGAAGAAACCCTAAGGTTCATGTGGGATACCATAAAAAGGAATAACCTCCGTGTTACTGGAATTCCAGAACAAGAAGAGAAAAATAAAACCACTGAGAAAATTGTCCAAGATATATTGGAAGAGAACTTCCCTGATATGATGAAAGATGAGAATATATCCATTCAGGAAGTCCAA